CTGATTATCTATTATGCAGGTACATTTTTCTAAGAAATTACATTCAATCACCAATTCACAAGAACACTAGGAAAAGCAAAAGATAGATTGACTGGTAGCTCATATAGCACCCAATTCCAACTTTTCAGTCTTTAGAAAAATATCAATCTCAAACCACTTTCCATGATATTAAATTTATATGACATTAAAGTGAGCACAAACTATACTTCTCTGCAAAACTTTACCATCTTTACACATTATAAATGAAACCCCCCAAATCCAGGTGTTAACAAATTGTTAACTCAGCTACCTACCAACACTCAGCTACTCCCATGTCCACCAAATTGAGTAAGATCCAAATCATGTGATTTTTTCTATTTAAGCCTAAAGTCTTTATCCAGACACGGGTATGTTTTAATTGGTGAAGTTTCAGAATTTTTAAATTCATTTTCAACATTTAAAAATTAAATTTTACAGAAAACTCCAACTGTTCGGATTTTCTTAAAATAGTGCAAGATTTGGCAACACTGTACCAATAGTCCTGCATGGCAAAGTTGGCTGTGTGGTAGCTTTAGATATGCCAGATGTCCCCAGTTCACCATGGTGCCTTGCTGGTCACCTTTCTTCATTTCTTTATTTGCCTAGTCCCCTGTAGTGATTGAGTTTGCAAATTCCTCTGAGCTTTGTGCAAAATAGATACTTAATGAGTGTTCATATATCATCCAGAGAAATTTGTCATCTAAAAGTCTTATTTTCCTCCACAGCTCTCAAGAATACCGAAAGACATATTTATACTTACCAAAAATTTCTTGAGGTGGTAATTCCTGGTATACATAGGAATTGCTTTTGTTTTATCTTCAGACCTAAGATAGATAGTGCTCTTGGTACTCGATGATGCAATTGATGGTGTGTGTGCGTGTGTGTGCGTGTGTGTGTGTGTGTGTGTTCCTGAAAAACTATATATTTGATGGAAAGATTGCTTGACTAACATGGCAGCACTGGAGACAGTAAAATTTGAACTGTATTTG